TGCTGAAGGTGGTGTTTGTGGGCACTTGGTAGGATGGGGTCACGAGTGCTATGAGCCTCCTGAACCCTGACTGATTAACTAAGGAGAAGGGCTGGCCATCCAGAGCAAGCATCTCACAAATGCTCTGGGTGATCTTGTTTGCCTTTGCAATGTGCCACCCTTTCTGTTTGCCTTTCCCCCACTGTTTCAGGGTAGCCTGCCTCTGCTTTGGAGTAAGAGGGGGACTTTATGCTGCACAGCCAGGCGTGCATGCGTGACCACATACACCACACAGGTTAGGTGGAACAGTGTTCCTGAATAAAGTTTATATATAATATTCTGTGCTTCCCAGCACAGTGAATGGAATGCACACTGTGAGAAAAAGCACAGATTTCTTTTCTAGGGGAAAAGAATAAAAATAGACTAACAAAAAAAAAAAAAAGAAAAAGAGGATTTTGCGGGAGGAATAAATTTAAAGGAATGAAGGAATATAATAATAAAATAAAAAGGTATAAAAAGCAAAAAGTATTGATGACTCCCACTTGCTAGGAACACTCTAGCAAGTAGGAAATGATAGCCTTTGTCTGATGCTGCTGAGCTGCTGGAAGACACAGCTCAGTAACTGACCCCAAGGGAGAAAGCAGCTCAGTTCAAACAATGCTGCTTTTTATGCTGTTTTTCCATCCCTCCCCCAGAGCACTGGGATTGGAAGGGACGTCAGGGAAGGATCAGTCACAGGCCAGCTACAAGTCAGTATCAGAGCAGTCCTTTCCCACATTCCCCACTCCCTCTCCTTACTTTCTGGTTCCCTGCAAGCAAGCCCGGCTTTGAAAACTTTCAAAACTTTTCAACTGCCCTTGTTTAATTTTGATTTCACTGTTTCAAGCTCAAAAGAAATTGAAACAGCATCAACATGAAACACCCAGAAAAAATTCTCACAGCCCTAATTAGAATGTCCTAGGTTCACGCTCTTACTGTGCTTATGTATAGCTTGAGAAACAGGGAGAAAACTCTGCCTGAAGAACAACGTGGTATTGCTTCCACTTGGAGGGAATTAGTCCTAGCTAAGTATAGAGAAGAATAAATATTTCTTAGGGTTCTTCTGCTGTGTTTCTGAACTTGGTAATGAAAATATAGGTAGGGAATAACAGTTTGAAGATTCAAATAATGCAGGGCTCCTTGATTCACCGTTGTTATGGACCATTTATAATCTTTCACAAAATACAATTAGTGCAAAATGCTACCAAATCTGAATGGAAGCTCTTCACACTCATTTGTGTAGCTTCACACCATTACAAATGATGGCAGACAGTGCATGGAAACCATGTTATTTTTCATTTATATAAGCAAAGCCAGCTGCTCAGTTGGTACCAATTGGTACAGATTTAATGAAGTTAGTGGAGTTCAGCTAAGAATCTGGTCCAGAATTTAAAAAAGTGAGATTTTTTCCAAAAAACAAAATGAAAGCAAACCACCCTCAAATTTTTGTTTTGGCACTTACCTGAGTTTAACAGTAAGAAAGTGGCCTGGGGTGAGGATGGTATGGGCACTAAGGCATATGGTTAATAGTTCAAAGATCATTAGTTTAAGACCATAGCAGAAGTGCTCATGGCATGGCCTGTCAGATTCCAAAGAATGTATGAATTCTACTAAATACCTTGTCATAAAAACAGTAGAGAAGTGAATTGCAAAAACATGTGTGTTTCTATATAGAGATATAGTCATGCAGTTTGGCTCTGCACTTTTGCACATTATCAGGATGATCTAGAATCCATATAAAAAAATTGTGTACCAGAGATATCCAGATTCAAGAAAAACAGAAAACCCAGAATAATCCACAGGAAACATGATATTCCATAAGGTTTCCTGGCCCAGAAGAAATAAAATGAAGTCGTTTCCCCAGTATATCTCCTTACCATGCATGTGGAGAGAAGCTCCTCTTCATAGGAACCTGCTAGAAATTCCACTGATGTCAACAGGAGTCTCCATGTGCAACTTGAATGGGAGCTGGACCAGATTTCTCTTCTGCAAAAAGTCAGGGTGGAATGTGATGCCTGTAGCCTCACTGGGTGTGTCCACACATGCAAGCACATACGCGCACAGTAGCTCAAATAGAAATGGTGCAAATTTGAGCCGGGGGGTTTTCCCTCAGCGCATGTGCTCAGACGTGCACTTTATCATGGAACAAATTGTGCCACTTGGGGCAAAATAACCCTGCCTGGCTCTTCCTGGATCTGCAGCCAGGGGGAGCTAGAGCCTGGGGCCAGCACCTGTGCTGTCCCCAGCAGTATAAAAAGCTGCCCTGGCAAGCAGCTCAGGGCTTCTTGCTCCCCAGAGCTTCTGGGGCTTGGCCACTTGGTACCTGGGGACACTACTCCTTGTGCTAGCTGGACTGCTGCAGCAGCATCCCAAAGCCATTAAAAAAAATATCCCCAAATCCACGTTTTTCCACAATTAACACAAAAGACCACTCTACACCCCCCCCCACTAGAGAGAGTGAGAGAGAGCGAGAGCGAGCGAGAGTGAGAGCGAGCGAGTGAGCGAGCAATCAGTTGGGCAATGCTTTATTGGTATATTTACAATGTTAAAGCAATGTGGAAGCCTACCAGTGTCTCTATCATCATGATAAAATAAATTCTAAATACCTATATGTGTTGATGTGTACTTTTGGTTTTCTTCACACATGATGAATGTGTGATTGGGGGATGTTTGCAGGGAGGGGGTGGGAGGGGGTGTGGGTGAAGGTGTGGAGGGATGTGGGTTGGTGTGTGGGTAGGAGGGTGGTGAATGCTGAGGGGGGGGCTGTGGGTGTGGGGGACCTTGTGGGGGAGCTGCTCAGGAGGGGTGGGTCCCCTGGGGGGGGGCTCAGGAGTGGTGGGTCCCCTGGCTCTCACAGGGTGCAGCCCACCCCCACAGCACATGGAATGCCCCCCCGCCACAGGGCCCCAGCTCCCCTCCCCAGGGTCCCAGGCACCCTGGAGGGCCACAGCCCCCCTGCCCATGGTCCCAGCTCCCCCAGGAGGGCCCAAGCCTCCCCACCTAGGGTCCCAGGCACCCTGGAGGGCCCCAGTCCCCCAGCCCAGGGTCTCAGGCACCCTGGAGGACCACAGTCCCCTGCTGCCCAGTGTCCCAGGCACCCTGGAAAGCCCCAGCCTCCCCACCCAGGGCTCATAACTTACCTTTAGCAGCAGCAATGGGAGTGGGGCGCTCTAAGCCATGGCAGCAAGACCCAGCATGTCACACAGGGACCGTGTATTGGGCCCAACTGGGTCCTGCTGGCCCTGGGGACTGTCTGCCATCCAGCCGGGCTGGGCCCTTCCTGGAAAGGACCCAGCGTGGCACATGGGGACCACATGCTGGGCCAAGCTGGGTCATGGGGCCTCTCTGCTGCTGGGCTGGGCCAGGCCCTTGGTGGCCAGGCCAGGCCAGGCCCTTGCTGCCCTCAGGACCCCTGTGCCTCCTGGGTAAGGTAACTAGTAGGGTGAAAGTGCTAGACTTTAGGAAAGCTGATTTCAATGAACTCAGGCGATTAGTCAAGGACGCACTGCAGAGTAGGAGTTTTGAAGTGATGGGAGCCCAAGAACGGAGGCTGTGCCTTAAGGAAATGAGCCTTTGGGCAAGCCTACAGGCCAAAAGGGGGGCACATAAAAAGTGGAAACAGGGAGAGATCATCAAAGAGGAGTATACCTCCTCTGCTCGTGCTTGTAGGGAGGCAGTTAGAGGGGCCAAAGCTACCATGGAGCTGAGGATGGCATCCCAAGTAAAGGACAACAAGAAATTGTTTTTGAGATATATAGGGAGTAAAAGGAAGGTCCAGGGAGGAATAGGACCCCTGCTAAATGGGCAGAAACAATTGGTGACGGACACGGGGGACAAGGCTGAACTCCTCAATCTTTGCCTCAGCGTTCCTAAGAGAGGGGCAAGACAAGTCTCTCACTGGGTTTGTAGAGAGGCAGCAGCAAGACGCCAGACTACCATGCGTAGACCCTGAGATGGTGCAGCGTCACTTGGAGGAACTGGATGCCTTTAAGTCGGCAGGCCCGGTTGAGCTCCATCCGAGGGTACTGAAGGCACTGGCCGACGTCATTGCA